ATATATTATGTATATTATACATCTAACATGTAGATTATACATGTACCATTTAGATTCTACATCTCCTCCGTTAGGGGTTGCTCGCGCACTGAACGCGGCAGAGTGTGCGAGCGAGAAGGAAAATGAATTGCGTTGTTGTTTGCCGGAGGGGGCAGGGGAAGCATCTGAAAATTTCTTCATTCTGGCTATAATTATGATCCGATCTGATTCAGATTCGGCAGTCTGGTAGATATGGATATTCTCTACGATACTGCGTTTTTAGTTTTATCGTATCTTAAAAATTGTGCCTGCCACAGATTTTCGTCCTTTGTGGGGGCGGAAGGGGGCGGCACATGAGTCTGGAAACCAAATTTGGTTACCCTAACTCTTATAGTCTCTGAGATCCAGGCGCTCAATAAGACGGACAGACGGACGGACGGACGGACAGACAGACAGACATGGCTATATCGACTCGGCTATTGATGCTGATCAAGAATATATATACTTTATGGGGTCGGAAACGTTTCCTTCTCTGCGTTACACACATCCACTCTTACCACAAATCTAATATACCCCTTAACTCTTTTTTGAGTACGGGTATAAAAAGTTGCTGAAAGTGCCATTCGACCTTGGTAAACTGTATGGATACGGCTGACCAGAGTAGCTTTCATGAGAATTGGTTTTTTGAAAAAACTTGGCAAAAAGATCAATTTCCTGATCATTGTTTGCTGACATATTGAGAAATGATAGCGAGGATGGATGTGCGGACGTTCTACGCTTACTATTTACGAAGCTGTAAAACTGTTTAGGGCCCTGTGAAAATCGTACCCTGCATCGAGATAGGTAATTTTTATAGCATTGAGCGTTAAGAACGGAGAAATTTGACCGAGCTATTACATAGTAAGAGAGAGAAGAGGGAGAACCAACTTCTCGAAATTTTTTATAAAGTCTTGATTTTAAGTTTTTTAGTCTGGATAACTCTTTGGTAAACCAAGGAGGCTTCCCAGGTCTAACCGGACAAGAAAGTGGGACACAAGAATCAAAAAATGTGTCAAGTGCATTGTAAAAAATGTTTGTGCCTTTCATAACGTCAGTGCACAAGTACAGAGCGGACCATTCAAAATCCCTAATAAAGTTATTAAGCTCGTAAACTCGGCTTTACGAAAGCAGCGGACACGTTCAGATAGCCTACCCATTCGATCCAATAAGGTAGGGCCAATATCGACTGACACTTCGAGTGTAGGATGGTAGGAGTCTTCAGGTATAGTGAGCGGAAGGGCTCGGGTTAACAACGCTATGGTCGGATCCGAGACAAAGCACAGATCAAGCAATCGATCCAAGGAATTTTTCACATGGTTGACTTGAGACAGGGATAGGTCTAGCAAGCCGTCGATAAAGTCATGTCGTGACATGGGCACAAGGTTATTAGACTCGTTTACCGAAGACCAAACAGTACCTGGCAAATTAAAATCACCAAGAACTATCATATGGTCTTTATCTGATAGCGAGGAAGAAACAGTTTTTAAAGCGGACAGGTGATGCTCATATATTAAGATGTCCGAGGAAGGTGGAATATACGAGCAAGTAATGAAAATGGAAAAGCCTGGGAGAATCAGTTTTACGCACACGAATTCCAGGTCCAGGTCTCGGTAAACACAATAACGTGGGACGAGAATGCGAGACTCTCAAGGAAAAGAGTGCTGAGCTTACTACGCAAGCCTCTAGCATTCTGGTAGGTTACTACAAGAGATGAAATTAGTTTTTTGGATGGGTGGAAGTAGAGGTGGAAGATGAGGATGGAGATGGAGCACTGGTCTGAATGCTAGGAAGAGTAATGGGGGGCCTATTCTTTTTCTTAGCCTTAAACTCTTTAACCACCAAATGCTCCGGAAAAAACTTGGCTTTAAGATACCTTATTTCAAGCAAGAAATTTGTAGATTTGCTGGAACTTAAGGTTCGGGACTGACCTTGTATGACCGAATGAGTGGTAGGCAAGAGGGAACGTTGGCTTACCGAAGAAATGACTCGAGAATATCTGTTTTGTATTTTGTTCTGGACTAATTTAATTATCTTTATTCGTGGTCCTTGTTTATTTAAACTTTGATGATGTACTGCCTAGTGTTGTATATTGCGTCTGGGCTGATGGACTGCCTAGTACAGCCTCTTGGGTTCGGGCTGATGTACTGCCTAGTGCAGTGTCTTACGTTCGGGCTGATGGACTGCCTAGTGCAGTGTCTTGCGTTCGGGCTGGTGGACTGCCTGCTTCTTTGGCCGAGCTTGGGCTTTTTAAGCAGCTGGCGATCGCACCTGAGACCGTGATTTTCCACGGTCTGTCATCGACCCGGAAATTATTAATTATTGCTAACTTATGATTATTGGGTGACAATAATTGTGGGGCTTGGTATGTTGGGCGAAGCTTGGTGCTTCGTTGCCAATTGGCTAGTGGGTCAGTGGAGTTGAGTAAGTGTTTTGCTGTGACTGCATCACAGCAGGTGCTGTTGGGAATTTGATTTAGAATTGGTTTTTGCTAACTCTGCATCGCAGAAGGTGATACCATAGAATGGTAGGTCGATAATTATCAAATTATAATTTGAGGCCGAGTGGTTGCGAAATATCGCAAAGAAGTGGGTGACCGAGAATTTAGTGCTGTCTTCGCTGATTGCGAAATATGGCAAGAGGTGGGGTGTTTTGGTGTGTAGAGTTGAGAGTCCTCAATTTGGGTAATTGGGTGTTTTGCTTTAGATTATTTTATTTTTCCGAAGGTGCTGACACACCGCTATTTTTAGACAACCATGGCCAAAGCCAGGGTTTGTTGGCTCTATGCCGTATGTTAGTTTATTTCCGAACAGCGTAGATCCGCTGCCACTCCGGTGTTTGTGACGTGCCATGGCTAGAGCCATGGTTTGTTACAATGCATGCTCTACGGTTGTACTGTTTTGTGTTTGTTTACAAACAGAAATCTTTTTAAATTTCAAATGTTTTAGAGCAAGCAGAAATGTCTCATGTGCGCGCTGTGGAGCTGGAGGACGACAATGCACACCGCAATATTGGATAAATTGGATCCAGCGGGACAGAAATACATATACGTCACGTTAAGTATCCGTTATTCAGGAAGTAAAATTTGATAGATCCAAGGCATGCTGTTTAATTTATAGTGCATGCATTTAAAAAAAAATGCATTTCCTACAACTTTTTTGATGATTTGAGCAAGTGCAGACGTCACACTTAGAACATTTAGAGCGAGGATATCCTGTCTTGCATAGTCTGCATCTATCTTTTGAGACCCATTGCATCCAATATGTAGAAGGACATGTAGGACTTGCTTAGTCGGATATAGCTGGAGAAGTTAGAGCTGGTGACCATGCCATTCGTAGCACAGGTATTTTGACTACACCCACGTACAGTTAAATGCCACTTTTAAATTCGACTACAGTGACCTTTACTGCTCTAGTTTACTGTTTTGCAATGCATACAAATTGGTTTCGGCACAGATTTGTTTTCACAAATTTTTCATCGAAGTACATATAAAAGTATGATATTGTTTCATTGGTCACTGAACAGTTGATGGATCTTTGTCATGAATTTGTTGCTTCTGTTTCATTTGGAATATTTATTCTCCATCTCAAGTGTCCTGATTTACATTCTGGAAAATATCCTGCGTCTTTTTATTTGCGTTTCGTTAGTACTCGTATGTCTGTGATCATTGTCTTCGCCCTCACTTCTATTCAGCAATGCATCTTCATAGTGTTTCCTTTCGAAAACGACAAGTTGCATTATGTCTTCTATAAAATTTTCCAATGTCTCAAGTGAGTCCGTAAATTGAACAAGTTTTTTTTTTAATGATTTTATATTTTTTGAGTTCTTTATGTTCCTTTTACTCAAATAAAATAAATGGATTTTAAAATTTTTGGTTTTAAACACACTCGGCTTTTAATGGGTTAACAAGATTTATATTTGTATACAAATTCGTTTACTTCCTATTTCGGCGAAAAATATGTTTGCCGTTTTGAAAATGGAAAATTTTTGCGAATGCGAGAGCGCCTTTCTTTTGCTAATATCACTACTCGACAAAATTGAACTTTTGATTTAGGCTGTGAACCAAAATGACTTTTTCTGATAGATTTCGGGATCTAAAATTTGTTGTAGTACTTTATTATTTTTTTTATGGTGTCATTTTTTTTAAAAGAATTTTTAAAATCTGGTATTTTTTTTCTTGGTTTTTTTTAGAGGTAGTGCTTCTATTTTTCACATAACTTTAGTATCTTATATCTGGTTGCATAGAACTTTGCAGTTCTGAAAAGCTGACAAAGTGTCAGCTATAAATCCGACCCAGACCCTTTGTATCTGCAGCTTAACGCCTGAAAGATATTAAGCTTTCAAATTCAAATTTCATAATTTTTTGCGGTATTTTTGTTTTTCAAAATTTTGACTTGAAAAACTCGGGAAAAGTAAAAAAAAAAAATAATTCTTGGCCAACATTTTTGGTTTTAGATAAACGCATTAATTAGGCGTCGTTTAAGGTATTGCTCATTAGAATACATACTTTTACTATGCAACCAGATAGAAAATACTTAAGTTATGTGAAAAATAGAAGCACTACCTCTGAAAATAAAACAAACAAAAAATACCAGATTTTAAAAAATTCGTTAAAAAAAACTACACCATAAAAAAACCATAATTCGTTAAAAAATTTTAAACCATGAAATCTATAAGAATCTAAATTTTGGGCACTAGTGTATTTTGTCTTCAAAAGTAAATCGTAAATATGTTGCGAAAGTTAAAACCGGAGCCTGTCTGAATCAGTCATATATTTAAGGTTATACCGTTTATCCATTTGTTTTTTCTATATTAAAATTAAATAAGTAAAAAAAAAAAACAATTATTTATTCTTCAAATGTAATGCTCAACAAATTCTTAAATTCTGGCTTTAGTTGTAGTCTTAAGAACTAAGAAATAAATGAGCTAAAGTAGACATAATAAAGACATATTTTTTAATTTTCATATTTTATCTATGTTTTCAGGACCAAGGCACCGGAACTACAAATGTGAATTTAAGATCTAAAGAAAGACAAAAACATAATTCGTTCACTACACCATAAAAATACGATCTACAAATTTACTGAAAATTTTACCATATAGCGAACAAAATGCTAAAATGTTGGAATTATTATCTGCTTTTATTTTTCTGTATGTGGAAAAATGTTACCACTCTAACCGATGACACACATAAAGTACCTGTCGTTTCAAATCGCTACAATACCCACCAAAAAATCAAGCCGCAAACAAACTTAAACCCACACCACTTATCCAATGAGGCTTCGCAAAGCTCGTATATTCAACATGAATCTCCTTTGTATACAGTACACATGGGAACTGAATCATCGGTAACAACACCAAAATCTCCGTCTGTAGGATTACAAGTCTCTAATAATGCTGGAAGTGGTAATGGACATTCGACTCATATAGAGCAACATTTGCATAGGAGTTCATACAATCTATTAAGTGAAGCCATGTCGCAGGCTGTCAGCAATGAATTCAGTAAGTTAATAACGATTAGTATACAAACATATTAGGCAGTCTGTCCGTCTTGCTGAGCGCTAGATCTCAGAGACTATAAGAGCTGGGGCAACCAAATTTGGTTTCCAGACTCATGTGATATCACACTGCTACAAGTGTATTGCAAAATTTCGCCCCGCCCCCTGTCGCCTCCATAAAGGACGGAAGTCTGTGGCAGGCACAATTTTATGGGTACGATAAAACTAAAAACGCAGTATCGTAGAAAATGACCATATCTACCAGATTGCCGAATCTGAATCAGATCGGATCATAATTATAGCCAGAATAAGGAAATTCATTTTCAGTTGCTTCCCCCGTCTCCCCCTGCATGAAAAACGCTACTGATTCTCTTTTTCGCTCGTACACTCTGCCGCGTTCAGTGCGCGAGCAACCCCTAGCGCAGGAGATGTAGAATCTAAATGACACATGTACTATCTACATGTTAGAAGTAGTATATACATAGTATATGTAGATAACAGATGTAGCAAAAAAATGTAAAATTTTTTTTTTATTCTAAAATTCTAAAAAATCATATGCTCAAAAATGTATATACTGACTGAGTACGGGTATAAGTAGAGTCGCGTCCCCAAAAGTGACTCACACGTTCCTTCTCGTTGTATATTGTATTTATATCGTCAGCAATCAATTACACTAGTCAACACCATTTTTCTGAACCAAAAAAACATTTTCTGATAGATTTGAGACTTTAAAAAACTTCAATGACTTGTTTTTTCTATGAAAAGAATAAAATAAAATAAAAAATAGATATTCTTTAAATTTTGTTCAGAGTTAGCACTCATTTTTGGTCGTGTAACATTCTTACATCTGGACGTATCGCAATTCTCAAAAGCTTGTAAATTCAGCTATGAATTGGACCCAAACATATTGTAGCTTCATTTTACTGTCTGGGAAATGTTAAGTTTTCTAAAATGAATCATTTTTTTAAAGGTATTTTTTCCCGAAATTTTGACTTTAAAAACTCAGGAAAAGTCGAAAAAAAAATATTTCTCGGCATGAATTTTTGGTTTTAAATAGACGCATTAATTAAGCGTCGTTTAGGGTATCGTTTAAGGTATCGATGGATGAACGTCCAAGTTGCAGCCGTTTGACCAAAACGACTCAAAACTACCAAAATGGGATAGCAGGAAAAAAAAAGACCTGTAGTTTTGGTTTTACCGAGTCCTAGGTATGGATATATAGCTGTAAATGTTGTAGACAGTTAACTTTTACTCCAATGCTGTGGAGAAAACCAGAGATTCACGGCTCTGAATGTTTCTTTTGTTCATTCAAAATAACTGGAATCGGGAGATCCATGAAATGGGGTTACCCGAAACAGCTTGGTCAAGGCTTTACGCTTCCTGTTTCTCCTTTAGAGGAAATACCGCCACTAAAACGCAAAAAAGAGGAGATGTCGTCTCTTTCACAGGAACAATTGAACGATTTAGTGAGGATCCTGGATCTTCCTAAAAGTAAAGCCGAGCTTCTTGGATCTTTTTTAAAGAATGCCCCTTTATTGAAGGAAGATGTCAAAATTCCGGATACGTCATTAGGTTAGGTTGACCCGGACGGCCCTCATGGGGCCACGCATAGGCCGATATGGCCCTTAGTTGTCCGGATGGGGGGTGCATGAACCATCTTCATTGTTGTGAGGTTTCAAAGTCCTTGAGGATCGAGGTGTTTTTCGCGAAGGCAAGAAGTTCCCCTGGTGTCCTTCTAGAGGCATCTTCCAGTAATGCCATCACCGGGGTTCCCAGGTATTTTCTTCTTGCCCTTGATAGCGCCGGGCAGCTGCATATGAGGTGTTCCAGGGTTTCGATAGCCCCTTCTTCATCGCATTTTCTGCAGTTACCACTGTTGGTGATGCCTAGTTTAACTGCGTGTGCTACAGTTAGACAGTGTCCTGTGAGTATTCCCACTAGCATTCTGCAGTCCTTCCGTGGAAGGTGCAGTAAGTAGTGGCTAAGTTTACCATTGCGCTCCTTAAACATGGTTCTCGACATTCTGCAGGTGGTGGTACTCTTCCACCGGCTTCTGGCCTTCTTGTCCGCTTGTTTCTCCAGAGCGCTTTGTAGCGTTCTAAGGGAGACAGGCACGTTCTCGGTTCTGGCAATGGCCAACCCGACGCCTTCCTTAGCCAGTACATCCTCTGTCTCGTTACCTTCGATGCCCTGGTGGCTGGGAACCCAATAGATCCGCACTGACTTTGTCGTGCTTAGGTAGTCTAATGCTTCCCTGCTCGCCAGGACGTTTCTGGAACTGACCGCTGACGACTGCATGGATCTTATCGCCGCATGGCTGTCCACGAACAGGTTTACTACGCCGTGTGAACGATCGATGGACTGAGCCGCTTCCGCCGCTTTCCGTATGGCGTAGACTTCCGCCTGGAATATGCTGCATTGTCCCGGTAGCTTATAGGACAGCCTTATCTCAGGGTCTGTACAGTATATGCCCGCTCCTACTCCTCCTTCCATCTTGGAGCCGTCGGTGTAAATGTTGAGGTTGTGTTTACGTCCAGGCAAGTTTGGGGGATCATGTAGTCAGATATACTGGCCATGTCTCGGCCAATTGAACTGTGCCCGAATCCCTGTAGAGACATGTTTCCTGATGCTACTAAGTGTTGTGCCGCCTTTCCTGCAATCAGTTGAGCGTGGATGTCCAGGGGGTCGATACCGATTATGGTTTCGAGTGCTTTTGTTGAGGTTGACCTCAGAGCCCCCGTAATGCAGAACAGTGCCTGTCGCTAAGTCCTGTCCGTAAGCTTGTTGTACGTCTTCTTTTCGGTAGCCTGCCACCACACTAAGACTCCATACAGCAGAGTCGGTCGCACCACCGAGATGTAGATCCAGTGCATTAGAGCAGGTGACAGGCCCCATGTACTGCTGAGCATCTTCTTGGATGCATATAGCGCAATGGTGGCCTTCTTCACCCTTTCCAGAACATTGGGCCTCCACGCCAGCTTGCTGTTCAGTACTATGCCGAGGTATTTGACTTGTGTTTTCGGGGTCAGCCTGGTTTTTTCAATTTTCGGGGGGATCCATGCCGGTACCTTGTATCTCTTGGTAAAGAAGATGAGGTCCGTCTTGTCCGCGTTGATACTGAGACCTACCTTTTCCGCCCACTCACATATCTCCCTGAGTGTTGATTCCATTATGGAGCTTAGAGTCGATGGACATACTCCCTTAATAATTATGCTTATGTCATCCGCATAAGCTGTTATTTTTGGGGCTCTCCTTTCGAATCTCTTTATTAGGTCGTCGACCACCAGGTTTCACAGGAGGGGCGAGAGGACCCCACCCTGAGGTGTGCCTCTGTGTGCCCCTTTCACCAAGGAAGCGGTGTCCCATTCTGAGTACACCCGTCTACTACTTAGAAGGTTCTTTATCCAGAGGTTGATTGCGGGATGCGTGTTGGTCGCTTCTAGGCGTTCCATTATTGCGTTAGTATTCACGTTATTGAATGCTCCGGATATGTCTACGAACACTCCTAGAGCATACTTATTAGTTTGGAGGGCGTTTTCGATGGTGGCTACTAGCGAATGCAGTGCCGTTCCTACCGATTTCCCTTTGGTGTAGGCATGCTAGTTGGTTGACATCCGCCCCCCTACATCGTTTCTGATGTGTAGATCCAGCAGCTTTTCTAGCGTTTTGAGTAGAAAAGAGGTGAAGCTTATCGGTCTGTAGTCATTGGGGCTCATATGGCTGCACTTTCCTGCCTTTGAAAGGAAGACAATCCTCGAGGTCCTCCATTGAATAGTGATATAGCCCGTGCTCAGGCAAGCTGAGTATATTGCAGAGAGGGGTGATCACGTCTTTGGTCGCCTGTAGCATGGCTGGAAATATACCGTCTAGTCCAGGTGCTTTCGTACCCACAAAGGAGTCTATAGCCCAGTGGATTCTCCTAGATGATATGAGACCCGTTGGGGGATGCTGTTCCTCAGTTGCTAGGTCCTGATGCGTTGTAGCGTCAGCAGCCTCGGTGCATCCTGGGAAGTGAGCTTCCATTAGTGCTGTTATGGCTTCTTCACTGCCCTCAGTCCACTGTCTATCGTTTCGCTTGAGCTGACTCTGTATGGTAGGTTGCTTTGATAGCAGCTTCCGGAGTCTACCCGTTTCTAGGACTTTCTCGATGTTGGAGCAGAAGTTCCTCGACGAGTTTCTTTGTGCCTTGCGTTTTTCCTTCTTGTACTCCCTGAGTAGGATTTTATATTCCTCATTGATCATCTCATCGCTCGCCTGTTTGGCGATTTTGAAGAGGTTTGAGGTTGTTTCTTTGGAGCGATAGGTCCCGGTTCCACCAGAGTGGTTTGGTCCTCTTTTTCGTTCTCGAGGGTGGGCACGATGCGTGGTACGCATCCAGTAGTTCCCTGGATAGGGTCTCTAGGGACGTTTCTATGTCTTCCGGGGATTTCACTGTGCCCGGACTATTCGCGAGCTTCGAGGTAACTGTCTTTTTAAACTTTTCCCAGTTTGTGTTCCGGGGGTTTCTATAGACAGATATTTTCGGAGAGTGTTCAAATTCGCACTTAAACTGAATATACTTGTGGTCTGAGAAGGATGGTCTTTCAAGGACTCTCCAGCCAGATACCAAAGTACTTGTTCTTCCCGCTACGAGTGTTAAATCTAGCACGTTTGAAGAGGTGGGACCTACAAAGGTGTATTCCTCTTCTACGTTTGCTACGTCTAGTTTAGTTGATAGTATGAAGTCTAGGAGTGACTCACCTCTATCGTTGATGTCGGGGCTTCCCCACACGTTGCGATGTGCGTTTGCGTCCGTACCGACGAGAAGTTGCTGGTCTTTCAGGCTGGATTCCGCCACTAGATGCCTCAACTCTTCAGGTGGAGCTGGCCTGTCGTGAGCCATGTAGCAGGAGGCTACCATAAGGCGCCTTTCCTTGCTTTCTAGCATCACCACGGTCAAATCGTCAGTGCTGTAATAAGACATGAGGTGAGCATGGATTCCCTTTCGTACGAGTACGGCGGTTC